ATATATACTAATATAAATATATATATATTAATATATATAATATAATATATATAATATATATATAAACATTTAAAGTTAAATTTTATTTAAATGTTTGTGTGGGGCGAAGACGCGGGCATTCAAACAAACTGCGAGGAGAAGACAGACTGTTTTTTTGTTTTAACTTATCTTTATTTTTATCTGTTTTTTATTTATGTTTAATTCTTTATTGCGTCTGCTTCTCCTTCTCATTATAATATTATGACGAACAAAACAAAGAAAAGCAGACAGAAAAAATAAATAATAGAGAGAGACGAAGTAAATAGTAAATAGACAGAAGAGATAAAATAAATAATAAATACAGACGAGATAAATATTTATTTTCTTCGTCTCTCTTCTCTTCTTCTGTCTCCCTTATTCAGTGCAGCTGCAGCAGCAGTTGTAGCAGCAGCAGCATTAGTTGCAGCAACAGCAGCAGCGGCAGTTGTAATAGCAGAAGCAGCAGCAGTAGCCGTAGTTGTAGCATTAACAGCAGTAGTACTAGAAACAGCAGCAGCTGCTGCAGTAGCAGTAGCAGCAGCAACAGCCGCTGCAGTAGCAGTAGCAGCAGCAGCTGCTGCAGTAGCAGTAGCAGCTGCTGCAGTAGCAGTAGCAGCAGCAGCTGCTGCAGTAACAGTAGCAGCAGCAGCTGCTGCAGTAGCAGCAGCAGCAAATTCGAGCGCTTGCTTTTTGTTTCTGTTTGCTGCTTCGTTATTTTCTTTTTTACTCTGCCCTCCGCAGCAGCAAATCAGTCGCTACTTCTTCTGCTGCTCCTGCTGCTGCTGCTGCTGTGGATGCGCAGCAGGAGCAGCAGCAGCAACAACAGCAGGTTGTATTTGCTGCGTGTTGGCAACGACGTGTGCATTTTAAAGCAAAAGAAAATCAGCAGACAAAAAATATAAAAAAATAAAAGAGAGACAAAGAAGAGAGAGAAATAAAATAAAATAAAACAAAACAAAATAGACAGCAGACAAAACAAAATAATAAATAAAATAATAGACAAAGTAATAAATAAAATAATAAATAACAGAGATAAAGAAGAGAGAAAATAAAAAATAATAAATAAAATAAAAAAGAGAAGCGAAGACCGACAACAAAGAAAATAAATAAATAAAAGACAGAGACAGAAAAACAGATAAATAAACAAAGACAGATAAATAAACAAAGACAGATAAATAAATAAAAACAAAGATAAATAAATAAAGAGAGAGATAAATAAATAGAGAGAAAATCAAACAAAAGATAAAATAATAAACAACAGAAGAAAAGCAGAGACAGCAAAAAAGTAAAGATAAACAAAGAGAGAGACAGAGACAGAGACGAACAAAAGTAATACAGCAACAGCAACAAAAATAAAGATGAAGACAGAAGCAAATAAACAAATTTAAATGTAAAAAGGAAGAGCTGTGTCTCTTTACAAGCAGCAGCAGCAGCTGCTGCTGCTGCTGCTGTTGCTGCTGATATAATATACCTCACGATATATGCATCCATTCTCGTAGCAGCAAAAAAGAAATAAAGATAGACAAATAAAAACAAGTAAAACAAATAAACTCTACAAATCCCCTGATGTGTACATTATATTATATATATCCGAAGAAGACAGAGAGCGCTGCACACCAGCAGCAGCAGCAGCAGCAGCAGCAAGCATCTAGTGTGGGTTGTCTGTATAATAAATACAAATAAAAAGTAGATTCAAATAGAAGAACAAAACAAATATATAAAGGAAGAGGAGAAGGCAAGACGACTGCTGCCCTCCTCCTGCCGCTGCGGCCGCGGCTGCCGCTGCTGCTGCTGCTGCTGCTGCTGCTGCTGCATCGGGGCATCGACCTGTATGAAGACAGAGAGAGATCCGCAGCATGTTTGTCTTTTGCATATATTATTGCTGATGAATAAATAAATTTGTTTGTTTTTTATTTATAATTTTGTGTATTTAAGAGTAAAGAAGAAGGAATTCGCCGGCGGTGGTGCTGCTGCCGCTGCTGCTGCTGCCGCTGCTGCTGCTGCCGCCGCTGCTGCTGCTGCTGCTGCTGACCGCGGCTCCTCCTCTCTCTCGCCGATCCATGATGATGTTTCTGCTGCCTTCAGCATTTGTTCTTTTTCTTCAAGAAGCAGAAGAAGTGTGTAAGAAGTGTTGCTTCTATACTTTTATTAATTTTGTTGGTTGTGCTGTTTGCTGCTGCAATCTGCAGCACGGGCAGCAGCAGCAGCACCGGGCGCGGCTACCCCACCTATCGAAGCGGTGCTGCTGCTGCTGCTGCTGCTGCTGCTGCTGCTCTGAGTGTTGCTACTCCACAAGACAAGCAGCAGCAGGGAAGAGGTTGGCTTCGTCTAAACCTGCAGCGTATTTCTACAACCAGAAGGCAGCAGCAGCAGCAGCAGCAGCAGCAGCAGTTGCAGCAGCAGCACAGCGGCCACGGCTAGCTGCAGCAGGGATACGACTCCAGCAGATAAGGCAGCACCTCTTCTTCTTTCTTTTTGTTTTTTATTTCTTTTTATATACTTTGTCTGCTCTCTTCTTTGCTGCATGTCTCAAGTGCTGATGACTTTCTTCGCAGCAGCTTGTTCTTCTGCTGCCGCTGCTGCTGCTGCTGCTGCCGCCTCTGCTGTCCCGCCCCCGTCTACTTCTCCCTTCCGCGGTGTACAGACACCTCAGCAAATTCACAGCTGTCTGCAGCTTCACGTCGCCTCCAACGACAACGCCTTGCAGCAGCAGCAGCAGCAGCAGAATCACCAGCAGCAGCAGCAGCAGCAGCGCCAGCAGAAGGAAGGGCATCTGCAGCAGCAGCAGCAGCAGCAAAACCCCCCGCTGCAGCAGCAGCAGCAGCAGCAGAATGGGAGGCTGGCAGAAGCACTTCTTTTAAGAGACACATCACAACTTGTCGCACCTACAGCAGCAGCAGCAGCAGCAGCAGCAAACTCGCCCCCTATGGCCTCCCCCCAAACAGCAGCAGCAACAGCAAACCAAGCTGCTGCCGCGACTGCAGCTGCAGCAACAGCAACAGCAAACCCTACACAGCCGTTGCCGCCAGGCGAGAGAACAGCCTTGGAAGCTGCTGCTGCTCCTGCTGCTGCTGCTGCTGCTGCTGCTGCGGAGCGGGAGAAGGTGGAGATGGAGTGCGACTGCTCCCCTGCTGCTGCTGAGGCTGCAGCAGGCGGCGCTGCTAGCAGCCAATTGCTTCTGGTGAAACAGCAACAGCAGCAGCAACAGCAGCAGCAGGTGCAGGTAAAGCAGGTACAGGAAGATCCTGCGCAGCAGCAGACACTGCAGCAGCAGCAGCAGCAGCAGCAGCAGGCATGTCTTTCTTCGCCCGCCCGTTCGGCTGGTGAAATAACAGGTGTAAAGGGGATTCCATCATCAGAGAAAGAAGCAGCAGCAACAGCAACAGCAGCAGCAACAGCAACAGCAGCAGCAACAGCAGCAGCAGGAGAGGTTGGGGTTTGTAACGCAGCGTCTGATGCTCCTGCCGGTGCGGGATCAGGATCTGCTGCAGCAGCAGCAGTAGCAGCAACAGCAGCAGCAACAACAACAGCAGCAGCAGCAGCAGGAAGGGCAGGATGTGGTGTCTCAGGTGTTGATGTAGAGCTTTCTTCTGTCTCTTCTTCTTCCTCAGTATCTGCTGCTGCTGCTCCCGCTCCTGCTGCTCTTGATGCAGTCTCAGCAGCAGCCACAGCGCCAACAGCAGCAACAGCAGCAGCAACAGCAGCAACAACAGCAGCAGCAACACAAGCAGGAGAAGAGCATTCGGGTTTGTCTTCTCCCCCTTCTTCCTGCGCAGCAGCATCACTGTCTTCTTCTGCTTCTTCTTCTTCTGCTTCTTCTTCATCTTCTTCTGCTTCTGCTTCTTCTGCTTCTTCTTCTGCTTCTTCTTCTGCTTCTTCTTCTGCTTCTTCTTCTTCATCGTCTTCTTCTTCTCCGCCACAGCCTTCTTCTTCTTCTTCGTCGTCGTCTTCTTCTTCTAGTACAAATACAAATGCAAATACTTCTTCTTCTAATACTGGTTCTAATACTAATAATCCGTCATCATCATCATCATCATCATCATCTTTTGCTTCTTCTTCTTCTTCTTCTTCTTCTTCTTCTTCTTCTTCTTCTTCTTCTTCTTCTTCTTCTTCGTCTTATTCTTCTTCAGTTCGTCGATTGACAGATCGGGGCTCAGACTGGCATCCGCTGGACGCAGTAGTAGAGCGTATAGAGGCACATGTGCGTCCTAGCAGCAGCAGCAGCAGCAACAGCAGCAGCAGCAGCAGCGGCAGCAGCGGCGGCCCTAGCAGCAGCAGCAGCAGCAGTAGCAGCAGCAGCAGCAGCAGCAGCGGTCGTGTGCAGTGGTATAAGGGTTTCCGCATGCCTTTAGGGGCTGAAGGCAGACAAATACTTTTGAGAAGGTTGCGCAAAGCTTATCATTCAAATCCTATTAAGTGGGATGAAGAGCTGTCTAGACACCGCATTATATTTAGTAGAATGCCTTATGCAACTGTCATAGAGCTTTTTCAGCTTGCACATCTTCTCGGGGTCTTTGACTTTGCTGTTCGATGCTCAGAGGAGTATGGTAGTGATGCTGGGGGCAGTGCAGCACATAGAAGAAGAAAGCACAATAAACTAGCAGCTACAACCAGCAGCAGCAGCAGCAGCAGCAGCGGAGGAGCAGCAGCAGCAGCAGGGGGCACGGGGGGAAACGGCAGCGCAGCAGCAACAAACGGCGTTCAAATGCAAATTCAAAATGGCAGTGTACAGGCAGCTAATGCAGAGACAGACGCACAGCAGCAGCAGCAGCAGCAGCAGCAGCAGCAGGGTTTGCTGGCAGCAGAAGATCTTGATGCTAGAATGGTAGGTGCTCTCTTTGCAGAAGGCAGTTATAAAGGCAGCAGCAGGAGAAGACAGAGACGCGCCCCCAGCGGCACCACTACTACAACTACCACTGCAGCAGCAGCTGCAGCAGCAGCAGCAGCAGCAGCAGCAGCAGCAGATGGACCCCACCTCCTCGCCCCCAGGCCAAGACGGGTGAGACGCTCTAGCCCTGCATATTTAAGAGACTATGAAACCCTTACCGATGCGCTGAGGTTTACTGCACCTTCCCCCAAAAGAAAGCGAAACGGCGGTGCAGCAGCAGCAGCTGCTGCTGCTGCTAACGGCAGCAGCAACGCACTGCTTGGCTGGGAATGTGCCGGTGCCTTCAACGAGCAGCAGCAGCAGCAGCAAGATGACCTCCTATCTGCTGTTCTTCGAAGCAGGGATGGCGCTGCTGCAGAGGATTCGTTCCTTAGAGCGGCTGACCCGCAGGCAGCAGCAGCAGCAGCAGCAGGAGCAGCAGCAGGAGGGGCGCTGGAGCCTGACAGACAGCTGAAGGAGTTCAGCGACAGCCTTTGGCTTAAGGGGGTTTTAAACGAAGGGGTATTAACTCCAGAGTTGCAGGAAGCGAGCAATTTGCTGCAGCGAGACCCGCAGCAGCAGCAGCAGCAGCACCAGCAACTGCTGCTGCTCCAGCAGCAACTCGAAGCTGAACAGAATGGTGCGCAGCGCGGCCGCTTCTTCTTCTCTGCTGAACTCCCTGGAGAAGCCAGCAGCGATGTCAGCAGCCCTTGGGGTAAGAATGATAAAATAAACAGCAGCAGCAGCTTCAACCGCCGCAACAGCGGCAGCAGCAGCAGCGGCAGCAACAGCAGCAACAGCAGCAACGGATGCGGTATAGGCCTTTCAGGGCAGCAGCAGCAGCAGCGCCGCAACAAGAGAGTTAAAGTGCCTCCATCAGGTCCCGCTGCTACTGCTGCAGCAGGTTCTGTTGCTGCAGCAGCAGCAGCAGCAGCAGCAGGTAGCGACGCCTTTGCTCTTCCTAACGCTGCTGGGTTGCCTCTGCACCTCGACGCTGCAGCAGAATGTTTAAGCGGCCTTCAATCAAAGACCCCCTCCGCAGCAGCAGCAGCAGGTGGCAAAGCAGAAACTGCAGCAGCAGCAGCAGCAGCAGCGGCAGGTTTAGATGGTGCTGCTGCGCCTTTGAATCTGCATGCATTAACAGCGAACTATACAATTGCTGCGCAGTATCTGCAAGTTATTCAGCTGCTAGCAGTGCAGCGCCAAATTATGGAGCTAACAGAAAGCCTAAAGACATGTGACGCAGCACCTGCTGCTGCTGCTGCTGCAACGGGAGCAGCAGCAGCAGCAGGAGGGGCAGCAGCGGCAGGTAGGGGGGGCCCTGGAGACCGAGGCTCTGCAGCAGCAGCAGCAGCAGCAGCAGCACTGTCAAGCTGCTTTGGGGCTAAGCGAGACCCGCAGTCTGCGTTGAGTCAGCAGCTTATCCTGCGGCTGGGGGAAGAAGTCGGATTGAATAGCACAGCAGCAGCAGCAGCAGCAGCAGCAGCAGCAGGAGCGCAGCGGGAGACAGGCGAAGGAGAGGCAGCCAGTGGGGGGCCAACGTCGACGCTGCTGGAAGAACTAGAGAGAAAAGTTGCTGCTCTTGAATGCCTCGTTGCTGGCAGCAGCAGCAGCAGCAGCAGCAACAGCAGCAGCAACCGCATGCATCCACCGCCTCAAGATGTCCTTGCTACTGCTGTTGGCTTGCAGAGGGTTTTAGAGGGAAGCAGCAGCGTTGAGGGTCTCCTGGGGAGCTCGCAGCAGGCGCAGCAGCTGCAGCAACTGCAGCAGCTACAGCAGCTGCAGCAACTACAGCAGCTGCAGCAGCTGCAGCGGGCGCATCAACAGCAGCAGCAGCAGCAGCAGAGTGCTGTTGCTGCAGGGGGGAGGGTAGAGGGGGGTCAGCGGGCCTTTGGCCGGCAGCTAGCCTTTAGCTGCTCTTCTCCTGAGTCTCCTGTTGATGGGTATGACTCTGGTGCTGCAACATCTTGCTGCTCTGGTGCTTCTTCTGCTTCTGCATGCAATACACCTGACTCGCTTGGAGGCGAGCGTTTGCTGCTGCTCTCTTCGCTCTGGCAGCCGCTACCTCCTGCTGAAGGACTTGTTAGCAAAGACGCAGAGTAAACAGAGGGAGCCTCCTCCTCCTGCTGCTGCTGCTGCTGCTGGTCCTGCTGCTGTTGCTGCAGCAGGGACATCAGCAGCAGCACACGCTGCAGCAAACGCAGCACTGGGGCTGCAGCAGGGATTACAGCAGCAGCAGCAGCAAACGCGGCAGCTGGACCTGCTGCTGCAGCAGGGATTACAGAAAATGCAGCAGCGAATGCAGCAGCAAATGCAGCAGCAGGAGCGCTTGTCTCTGATGATTGTCGTTCATTTGTGCTACTAAATATTTAAATGTAGAAGTCTGATTGCGTGTGGCTTTTATTATTTGTCTTTTTTCTTCCGTCTTCTCCTTCTTTATATTTATATATTTATTTGTTTATTTATTTGTATACTTATTTTAATCTTGTATTTACTTATGCGGGCCCTCCAGGGTATTGTTATTTCAATCGCAACGCAGCAGAAGAAAAATATATCCTTCGCTTTTTTCTTTCTTCTTGCAGAGAGAAGAACAGCAAAACAAAGAGGGTTTATCTCTATAAGAGTTAATTTAAATAAACAATTTATTATATTTGCCTCCAATCGATGCCTAAAGAAAACCTCACAAAGGAATACACGAAGAAGAAGAAGACACACATACCACAACGCAGGCATTATACTGCTGCTGCTGCTGCAGCTGCAGCAGCAGCAGCAGCAGCTGCTGCTGCAACAGCAGCAGCAGCAGCAGCGGAACAGCGGATGCAGCTGCAGCAGCAAATGGATGCAGGCGCCTCACCCAGCGCCCTCCGCTAGCCAAGGACCAGCTAGCTAGCTAGCCAAGGGGCAGCTAGCTAGCTAGCTAGCTACGAGAGACCCGGCGAGCCGTTGTGTTCAGGTGTATAGACAGGTGGCGGCGCAGGCCGGCAGCCTGCAGCGTGGCTTCCTGTCAGTTGATTGAATTTAACTTCATTTCTTTTATTTCTCTTCTTCATCTCCACGCCCCGCAAGGGGAGCGGACTCAAAGAGGGAGAAAGAATATGTATATGTATGCATTCATGCATGCATGCATGCATGCATGCATATATAATGTATATATAATGTATAATATATGTACGGTGTATTCTCATGTGTGTATGTATATTTATATTTATCTCTCTTTTTATATTTCTATTTATATTTCTATTTATACTCTTATTTGCACTTATTTCTGTATTTATGTCTTTATTTATATTTACATTTATATTTATTCTTGTCTTCTACTTCTATAATATACGAAGTGTTGCTTCTGCGCTGTTTATTTGCTTCCTCTCTGAGGCAGCTGCGAGACCGCGGGAGATAAAAGAATAAAAGAGTTATTACTCAGGCGAGAAAGTAAAACAAAACAAAGCAAGGGTTCCCCTCAGAACTTTTCTTCGCTTTGCTGCCTTTGTTCAACTCTTTATTATATTATTATTTTCTTCTTTCGGTTGTTTCTCACAAAAAGGACAGGCGTAGAGAGGGGAAACCCGGCAGACTATGCTATTGCTAGCTGATGATGCAGCAGCGCCAGCTAGCTAGCTAGCTATCTAAGTAGGTAGCTAGGCATATATACAACTCAAGGGGTGTCTGGCTGGCAGCTATTCATATAGAAACTACCGACTTAGGCGCTACTTAACAAACGTCTGGCTACCTAGATGCCGAATAGTATAAATAGCATTAGCTAGCTGGCTGGCTAGCCAGACAGTCAATACAGGCATGCATGCATGGAACAGAGAGAGAGGGAAGCCTCTGAAGGCTCCGCTTTGTCTGATGAGATCGGAGAATAAACTGCTTGCAGCTTCCGTCTGCATGCGTCTGTCTGTCTGTTGCTTCTGCTGCTCACTGAGGTGTATACGCCGTCCATATTTACAAGACTTAGAAAGGTGTGGCTGAAGCAGCAAGAAAAGAGAAAAACCTGTTGAGTTCAGACTCAGATTGAGGCTGCAAGCGCACTTGCATGCAGCCATTCGTATAAGGCCCCTAAGGCGAACCCTTCCTTAATTTGGGAGTTTGGGTGTCTGGTGCTTCCACATGAGAATATAGAAGTGCTATTGAATGCTGTGTATGATGTATGTGCATGAATATGCATGTGATTTGCATCTAGGTGTGTGCATGTATGCATATTGTGTGCATATCATATAACCGTAATGCGTCCACAACATAAGAGATGCTGGCAGTGTGTACACCCGACGGCGAGTAAGAAGAACCTTCCTGAACTGTTTCCGTTCTTTCATCACCTTGTGATGGAATTCTTCTGTCTCAATTCTCCTTTTCTGCTGTTTACAGAGGCAGGCGTTGATGCGGGGAAGCGCCTACTCCCAGGCTTGATCTGGTGTAGGACCCTCTTTATCAAGGAAGAATGTGTACGCCATGGTGTCGAAAGGAATAAAAACACGGGGCTGTACTTCCATCTCTGCAGTTTCAGCAGCAGAAGGAACAGAAAGCTGTGCTCGGCTGGCCCGAGCAGTGTGAGCAAGGCTGCTGAAACAGGCAGCGAATAACCAGAGAAACCGCATCATTTTATCACGGAAAGCGGAGGATCCAAGTCTGAAATAGATTTAAAATGCATAAATATGCATAAATACCTTTAATAGAAAGAAAAATCACAACTTTTGCTGCTAATTTAGTTGGTATTCACCCTGTGCACAGACAAGTACCTCACACAGTATTCAGGCAAGGGTGATCGCGATAGGTGACCTGTGGTGTACATACACCGCAGATGAGTTTCGTCTAACTCCAGGCGAAGAAAAAGGATATACTAATAAATTAAAAGTACAAACTTTCATTTTCTCTTATTTTTTTCGGTTTTGTTTGTCTAACTTCCACTGTGACAACAACAGCATACGGGCACAGGTGGAGCATTTTACCACTTTGCTGCGTCTTTAAGATCCCCTCACAATTATTTATTCTATAATAATAATAATATTATTATTACTATTTATTGATATTATTGCGTAACTCCTTTACTACGTATGTATATACATTTATATATCTATTGTCGCATAGATGCATTATATGTACCATATAAACTGAGGATCAGCGATCGACGCATTTTGAAGATTAGTTTCCTGTTTTTTGTTTGTTTTATTTTTGTGTCAATTCCCTGAATTTATGGTATTTGTTTTCGATGTTGTTATTTTATTTATATGGGGGTATCTTCAGAAAGTCAACAAAGGGGCCAGTGGACTCTCTTGCGTCTGAATGCAGTTCTTTGTTTTTTTTTTCTGTTCTTCTTCCTCTCCTTTGGTGTTATTCTTCCCCCTCTGAAGCAGCAGCAGCTTATGTTTAGTCGAAATTCTGCACTGCAGCAGCAGCACCAGCAGCAGCAGTTGCTGCAGCAGCTGCAGCTGCAAGAGAAGCTGCTGCAGCAGCATTAAAGGCAACAAGTTCATATATTATAAAAATGCGTCTTGAGAAACCAGTGAGTAGAAATCTCCTAAAAAGGCCTCGTGGAATTCTGCAGAGTGCACAGACAGCGGGAGGAAGAACAAAGGAGAGAGAGACAGTAAAGCATAATTATGTCTTAAAGAAGAGAGTATACAAACATTTACTTATATAAAGACGAACACAAACATAAAGATAAATACGCTTAAAGCAGAATAGAAAGAAATAGAGTGAGAAGAATGAAAGACAAGACAAAGAACTCTCAGAGTATGTAAGGAGTTTCTTTCTTTTATTTGTTAGTACTGCAACTAATAGAAGCAACAACTACAACTAAAGATGCTGCATCTGAGGTGTATCTTCACCTTCCAATGAAAATAATAAATCTTTCGTCTTCTGAGCATTCAACAAACTGTGCAAAGCCCGAGGGTCAGGCGCATAGCGAATGAACTCCCGAGACAAAAGCCCAGTTGGGTCTAACTGAAGACAGGCATCTATCATAAATAATATATATACATTATATATATATATATATATAATATATTATATTTCTTGTATATGCATTACAAGTATGCAAACTCATATATATATGTACGTATACATTTACATATATATATATGCATGCGTTTATATACATATATATGTATATATATATATATATATATAGTTATTTTCTCTATGTTTGATGAGTAGTAAATGGTAACGCAAAACAAATGTCTACTACCAATTAGCACTACTGCCTATTTTCTTCTACGTAAATAATGAATATGAAAATGCCTAATATATATAATATATAATATATATCATATATATTATTTATTTTTTATTTAGAGTAACAATTAAATCAAAACAACAACGCGAACTGCACCACGAAGAAGCCCCTCTAAGCTAAAGTGAAAGGAGGGAATTTATAACACACGTAATCTGCATGCACGCTGATTATGTTCTAGTAATAATACGCATGCCATATATAGCTTTAGACAGAAGAAAACAGACAAACAACAACCTAAGTTGTAGCAATGATATAAATAATATATATGCATATATATATATCATATATATCTCTGTAGACAGGGTAAAAGAAAACAGACAAAAGAACTACAAGAAATTCATCACCTCACTTGAGCCTCCATATTTGTTTCGCGAAGTTTGTGCGTCAGCATTATTATTTTCTCGTAGACTGAAAATGCCTAGGAAACAAACACATTTTGAAAATAAAATAAATAAATTGAATATATACAACATAATATATACTAAATATATATTTATTTTCATACACACTATATAAAATAAGTATAAAACGAAAGAAAAAGCTTCATAAATAGTTGTGCATCTGCATCTGAATTGCGTTGTTTGAATGCATTTCGCGATGAGGTGTACAGACACCTCAGATGAATTTGAATACCTGTTCAGAAACATTTTCTTCTGTCAATTCATTTTCTCCTTCTTCAAACTGCATTTCTAAATAATCTTTCGGCCTGTGACTCCAAAACGTCGGCATCAATTTGTATACCCGCTGTAAACAAACATCACAGCATCTGTTGTGTTATATTTCTTCTTAGAAAGTATCTCCTCTTAATATATATATATATATATATATATATATATATATCATATATATATATGTACATATATA